GCCTGCGATCGGGCTCCCGAGCCTCCGAGGGCCCTGGCCGGGCCACCCGGGGCCTCCGCCTCTGCTCCGGGCCTGGGCGCGCGCCGGGCTGAACGCGACACCGGGACCCGGGGCGCCGCGGTGTCCTCGCAGCTCGAGCTGCCCGCGCCCAGAGCCACCTCCCGCCCGGGGACAAACCCACGCTAGCACCGCGCCCGGCGCCTCCCCAGGTGTTCAGCTGCCTCGACTTTCCTGGCGGCACAGTGCCCGGTGATGCGTCTGGTTCCCCTTAGGGTGGCCCGGGGTTCAAAGTTCAGATGTGGGTTAGGAAAAACTTGTTTGCAGTCTTCTCAGGAGGGGTGAGGCGGGGATGGGCAGCGGCATGGGGTTTGGGTCTATGGAGTAAAGCGTTGAGCAGGCACCTCGGCTCTTAATTTTTCTCCTGGAAACTCAACGAATTTATCTGTAAAATAAAATTTCAAACAATTATATTTCATGTGCTTTAAAGTGCAGAGTTGAGCAGCTGGCCTCATGAAGTGTCTCTCCGGGCTCAGAATCTATGATTTCGTGATGTCTGCATTCAATCGCAGGATTAGAAGTGCATCCTTTCTCTAAAGCCCTCCACGAAGGGCCGTCTGTGGGGAGCAGGGATCACAAGGAGCAGTGCTTCTCTGGCTCCCACTGCTTAGGGCAGCCTCTGCACACCTGGACGTCAGGGGCAGACATACACAAAGGGCAGCTCAGGCGCGCAGGGCGGTCAGCCCTTTAGCACTTTCTGTGCTCTGACTCTGTCCACTAAGCTTGAGATCCCAAAGATAATGGATAGTCGGAGTTTCTCTTGTTGCCTCATGTTTCCAATCCCAGAGAGAAAGAAAAAAGCCAATTTTCTTCTTTAAAAACAGAAAACTCCATCCCCGTTGATCAATTTCGAGAACCCCCCAAAAACAAAACAAAACAAAAAACAAACCAAAAAAAAAAAAAAAAAAAAAAACCCTAGCTCTCCTGCTGTGTCAAATCCTTCCTCTCACTCTCCACTAAGAGCAAAGTGGGGTGTTCTGGAAACTGCCCTTTTCAACTGCAAGAAGGGAGAAAAATTTCAATCTCATTCTCTCTCTCTCTCTCTCTCTCTCTCTCTCTCTCTCTCTCTCTCCTCTGTCTCTGGTCTCTGTCTCTTCTCTTTCTCTCCTCTCTCATTCCTCTGCCTCTGGTCTCTGGTCTCTGTCTCTGTCTCTCTCTTTCTATCTGTCTCTGTCTCTCTTCTCTCTCTCTCTCTCTCTCTCTCTCTCTCTCTCTCTCTCTCT